GCATTTTTTTATTTTCACAGAAAGCAATACTTTGTCTTTCTTTACTACACTTCCTTTACTATCCTTCAAATACCTTTTCAATTGGAGTAGTTGAATGTAATTCTGGAGTATTAATTTGAGATAATTGCTTATTGTTACATAATATGTTACTAATAATTGTATAATGATTTTTTTACTTGAAAAGGAAAATGAGATGGTAAAATCATTAAAGTCATCACAGAAAGCAATACTTTGTCTTTCTTTACTACACTTCCTTTACTATCCTTCAAATACCTTTTCAATTGGAGTAGTTGAATGTAATTCTGGAGTATTAATTTGAGATAATTGCTTATTGTTACATAATATGTTACTAATAATTGTATAATGATTTTTTTACTTGAAAAGGAAAATGAGATGGTAAAATCATTAAAGTCATACCTTAAAAATTCTAAATGTTATAAATATCACGAGGCTAGCAGGCTAGGAATATAGCTTAGTAATAGAGCACTTGCTTAGCATGTGTAAGGCCATGGACTTAATCTCCACTACCAGACACAAACACACACACATTCTGAAACAAAAAGTCCTGGTGGGTTTTGAGCAAAGGAAAGGAGAACTGTAATTTAATTTAGCAATCTGGCTTCTGAATGGGGAACAGGCTGTGGTTGAGGAAGTCAGTGAAGCCGGACAAACACATAGGAGGTTTTTGCAATAGATCAGATGAGATGTGACAGCGTCTGGGACTAGGGTGGGAAGAGTGGAGCTGGTGAGAAATAGATTCTGGATTCTAAAGGGGACCCATAAAGATTTATGTGCTTCGCTCAGAAAAGCCCTCCCTGGCTTTGACATTAACATCAGTAGGAATGAAGGGCCGGGTTACAAATTTCCCAGAGCTTCTAGCAAGCCCACCGAAGATCCTGCTTCACCACCATAATCTGCCACAAAGCTAAGTCTCAAGAAAAAAATTATTGATAACATGAATTTTTGTTTTGCCACTAAGATATCTTTTAATTTGACTAAACTTTACACCCTGTTTGTCTCACTTTGTAGCAAAGGTCCAAGCTCTCTGTGTCATCTTTTTAATTTTCACCCCAGTATGCTCTGAAAAGCCATTGTCTGATTCAGTTTCCACCTTTACCGATTCTCCAAACCTTTCCACCCCTTACAGCTTGGAACTCATAATGCAGCAACATCACAACCCTCCTGCACACAGCCTTCTTTCTGAAGGTTCTTTACCCCTTTGGTATACCAGGTATCAGTCGACTGAAGACACTCCTCCAGCTTTCATTCTCCATGGTCTCAGAAGTGTGTAGGTGTCATTCTTGTACCTTCCAGCTGCTTCTTGACTCCAGTTCTCCAGTTTCAAGAGTATCTCTGGCCCAGTAATGTAAGCATCCCAGCGTAATATCACCTAGCAAACTCACCAAGGTTATAGCCCACTCTTCCTTGTCTCCGGAGGCAGAAAAAAATAAACAACTGTGCTAATTTTATTTAAATTTATTACCAAAAGCTTTGATTGGACTCTTAGTAATCCTGTGTATTTTCAGTCAACAACTCACTAAATTTTGCATCAGAATCACAAGAATAGTGTGCCAAAATAGCTTTCTGAGCTACATTCCAAGGATATCTGACTCAGTAAGTCTAGTGTGGTGCCTATATTTCTCATTTCTCACAAATTTCCAGGTATCGGGTGCTGCTGGCTTGGAGGCCATACCAGGAGGTCTACTGGCCTAGTCAATTCATTATCATCATCTTCTTCTTCTTCTTCTTCTTCTTCTTCTTCTTCTTCTTCTTCTTCTTCTTCTTCTTCTTCTTCTTCTTCTTCTTCTTCTTCTTCTTCTTCTTCTTCTTCTTCTTCTTCTTCTTCTTCTTCTTCTTCTTCTT